GATATCAAAATCCAGACTCATCCCCCTAAACCCAAAACCTTACATCCTACACCCTAAACCCTGGGGAAGGAATTTGTACCTGGCCTTGGATCTGACAGAAGCCCAGCACTGAGATCTTCATCAGTGGCCTTGTGGCTAATCCACCAAAGGGATGAGGATTTAGGGTTTAGGGATTTAGGGTTTAGGGTTGAGCGTTTAGGCATTTTTGATCCAAAGTGATGGACCATCAAAAGGAATATGACATGGACAAAGAAGTGAGACAGGGTCTCTTTCGGCGGGGATGGACGACTTAACTAAGGCATGCACCCCAAAACATATTAGGGATCCTAGCCGCCTTTGAGGTATATTCATCAATTGGGTCATTCCCCCTTACAGTAACTGTTACCACAATGGGTTATAGGAGTTATAAGAACCCCCTTAATAAGGCCCCTTTAAGGACAGTTACTGGGAGGGGGAATGACCCAATTCATCAACTAATATTTGTTGCACTCGCTGGGCAGTGCTGCAGGTCAGGTTTCAAGGCTTCACTCGCGCGTGTGATAGATGGGAGTTGTGAGGAGATTCTAGAGGATCCCATTTATGATTACATAGGGTTTGTTTTGATGAATTCTCACTCAGAGCCCCAAATACCTGAATCGCAAGTCTCTTTTGGAGACTCCGTATCTCTCCCGACTGAAACTCGCCGCGTGCAGAACAAACTTGCAGCAGTGTCAATGCGCGGCTGGTAGTATGCGAGGGTTGATGACAAGGTCCGTGTAAAAAAGGGGCCATTCAGAATGCGCTTTTCAAATTGGCGATCCTAACCAAAAGGGACAGTTTTTCTTACAACTACAATTTGTAGGTATCGTTTGCTTTTTGTCAGGGGCCTTATTTCACATGTCTAGCTTGAGAGTTTGGGGTTCAAGGACGGGGTCTGAAGTGACTTAAAGCGAAGTACACGGATCCCTCTTGATCAACCATGCTGCCCTCAACCACCTGCTCGAGAGTTCTCAGAAGCACAAAAATCTTTCATGCTCTGAGGACACGGCTCAAGTATGTCCGGCCGCGCCAGCAGTCGGCAGAATCCTGCTGCCAGTCTTGAGGCCGGACAGGGCTACAACTTCCTTACGGCAGGAACCAGGTGCAAGAAGGGCATAAGTGACGCGATACCCAAAAATGTATATATATATATATATGATCGAGATACCTTTAGGGTCTATTTGACGTCCTGTTTAAATTAGCTAATATATAAATAAATTAAATAATTCAAATAATTCAAATAATTTAAATAATTCAATTATTTGAATTATTTGAATTATTTGAATTATTTTGGAGGCCCGAGAATTCAAATAATTC